GACTTGTTTATAGACTCTAACACTTCATAAGCCTTCAGTCTCTTGATCACTGTCTCTGGTCTATCATCCTCACACTGAATCAGAGGCTCTCCCGTCAGACCATCTATGCCCACAGTTTTGGGAGGGTTGAATTTAATGTTGTAGACTCGRTCACTGGCTGGATGAATCCAGCGAGCAGTGAGGCGGTGTTTAATGACCTGAAAGGGCACATTCAGATCGATTACTGTGTCTATCTGATAAACTTTATCCAGGGCTTTGCCTGTGGAAGTGTCCTTGGAAAACCATCCAATAGCCAGTTACATTGGGTGAGATTTTTCAGCTCATGGAGGACTAGCCGAGTCATGACATCATATGGGATGRGCTTCCCTTGGTCAATAAAAGTCTTGGCTAACACACCAATCTYTGTGCCTTGAAGCATGTTTTGTCAGAGCAGGTCCCCGCTGGAGAGGTGCTTCAGCTCGAAGTGTTTAGTGATGCACAGGGACACAGTGCCCTTGCTGGAGCCAGGAGCCCCYATGATCACTGTGTGCACTAGCCGTGTGGAAGCCCCCATGGCCGCTGACGGAGGACCTGGTAGGGCGGACAGTGCTCACCCGCTTTGAGGCCTAGGATGGCCTGCTGGAAGCRCTGCAAGCAGGCGGCGGCCCAGCACCCACGCTCTCTGTACTTTGGATTTTTAAAACAAAGWCTTTACAGGGTTTCCCCAGAAAAACTGGATTTTACCTGTTGCCTTCAGGTAATTTACAAATATTCTAAACTATGGCTTCTGCTCATTTTCATTCTTTWACACACTCCTCATCTACTCTGTGTCTTACAGAAATTTGTTAAAATGTCTTATTTGCTAATGATTGTCTTCCCAGACCATTYTGTTTACTAATGTGTTTATACGTGATTTTATACTTCTTTGCTGTCAGAGAAAGAGATTGAAATAAGTTTGTGCTTGGTCTRTTGTCCTTAAATAAAAGCATCCCTCTTCCAGATCATTCCCAATTTGGTCATTCCACCTAAAGCATTCCAYATAAACCGTGTTATTAAGTCCAGCATACACATCTTTGTCTCTACCYTTCTAGATCTTACAGTAGTCTGTACACAGTTAACCACTCCCTCTCTGTTTCCTTGTTACTACCTTCATATAATATTCTTACTTTCCGGCTGTTCCATTTTAGTCTGCACTGCTAGCTTCCCACTCCTWTACCAGACTCTAAATGTTGAGTTCCTCATGTCTTGGTGCTTCTTTCTTTTCTCATTCTACTCTCATGACCTATATATCATCTATATACAAGTGACTTCTAGTTTTGTATCTTGGCCCAGAAGTCTTTCTTGAATTTTCAGCTGCTGCTTAAATTTAGCACTTTCAAAGCTGAATTCTGATTATTTCCCTTTCCCCAAGTCTACTTTCTTACTTCTCCATCTCAGTAAATGGCATCACCATCAAATCTTGCCATCTTGATATGTTTCTATAACTTTTAACTTCTAGTTTACAACACTCATTTCCTGCTAAAAACAGTTAAGTCATTCAAAAATCAAACCCTTCTATTGAAAGACTTCTTTAACTATCATGATGGGCTAATGAGTTGATTATAGCACCCATTTATTTGAAAATAATACATGTTTATTATTTTTTAATTTTTATCTATAGTATTGAGGAGAACTGTTCAAACTCGTCCTGCTCCACGAATTCCTCCAACTGTGGAAATCATTGAGAAGGAACAAAATTGGGAAAAGACTTTACCTATTGATACAGACATCCAGAATTCAAGTGAAGAGAGTCGTCTTTTCACTCAGAGGTGGAGAGTCTCTCACATGGGAGAAGATTTAGAGAATAAAGTTCAGCCCCCTTTTGTTAACTTTTCACAGAACCTCTGCAATTTCCATCCCAACACTCAGCAATCAAGAAATCTTGCCTTCTCAGAAGAGCCCTCAGTACAAGGAAATGGGCAACAGCTTAGAACAAATGAGGCATCATTGGTACAAAGAAAGGAYATAATGGCACGAATTGCTGAGTTAACACTGCAGAATTCAGCCATCAAGACACAGCTAAATAATATTACTTGTCCAGTGGGAGAGCAAGGGGATGGACTGCGGGAATTGAATAAACAGGAAAGTGCAGGCGATGTGACTGCTGTGAGTACCACTTACACATTAACAAGGGACATGTAGGGATTTAGTCGTGGGCATCTTAAAGAGTTTTTTTTTTTTTTTTCAGAAGTGATTCTGGATAGCTTTTAGGCAGTCACTAGATAGCTTATGCTTTGGCATGTTCTCTTCACAAGATAGTTAAAAGATACTGATTAGTTTATATTGAACATAGAAGACAACATGAAAGAAAAAATACATGAATGAAGAAAATATGACTAAGGTAAAATGTGTAGGAAAGTTAAAATTAGACTAAAAATAAGGTTTTTAAGTATAAAATATATAGAATTAATATGACTTGAAAGATGCTATACAACTAYATTTTACTGAAACTATTTTGACTCTTAAAATAGCTCATAAAAGAGTAATTGGCTTTCCATTTATGACCAGCCAATTTTTTTAAGACATAACATGCATGTGCTGAAATGATGTTAAAGGATCATTAAAGTCAGAGTTTAATGTGCATATGACTCATGGCGTGGCGGGGGGTCTTATTTAAACGTGGTTTCTGGATGAGCAGGACTAGGGTAGGACCYGTGAATTTCTAATAAGTTTCTAAATGATGCTAATGCTGCCAGTCCAGGTGCTCTATTTTGATAAGCAAAATTCTGCATGTTATAGTACAGGAGTTTTATAAGTAAAATAAACTTCATGGGCTAACCTATAACTTAAACCTTCATTTCATTATTTGTGGGGAGAAAAGGGACTCTTAAGTTCCAACTGGGAGTGTTTATAACACACCTTCTTGTACAATTCCCCATGATAACATATATTTTGTTTTATCAATTTTTGAGCCAAAGTGTCTTCTATGAGGGTTTTAATGGAGGCAGTACAATGTTTTTTTGCATTGGGAAGGACATAAGCATCCTTATTATGAATTAGGGACTCCTGAGGTGGCTGTGTCTGTAAGTGTTTTAAAAGTAATGGATTGAGGGCTTTGGTGGGCAAGGTAAGGGAGAGGTGAGTGTAGGGGCCACATCTGACATCCCTGGCTCATGGGGAATAAGGAGAATGKGGAACTGAGCCACAGAAGTAGTAGTCAGAGCTGGGGTTGGTGGTGCACATCTAAAATCCCAGATGAGGTAGGAGGATTGCAAATTTAAGACCAGCCTCAGCAATGCAATTTAGGCTCTAAGCAACTTAGTGATGACTCTTTCTCAAAAAAATAARAAGAGCTGGGCATGTAGTTCAGTGGTAAAACACCCCTAAGTTTAATCTCCAGTACTAACAACAATAATAACCAAAACAAAAAAAGTAGTCAGAAGTGACTGGTAGATGAGGAGCCAGAAAGGGGTTGTAGGAGTAGGAAGTAGCCATTGGTAAGGGTCTAAGAACAAACTGCCTCAATTTTGAGTAATTGTTTGCAGAGTTTTGAAGATTATTTGAAATAGGTAACTCTTGGTTTAAAAATGATAGCACAGTTATATATTGAGCTTGTGTCCTTTCCTATTTATTCTAGAATATACATCAGTCTAGAAAAGACAATCTATTATTGTTGCCCACACCACCCTCTTGTTTTAATTGAAAATACAACATGATCTTTAATCATGCTGATCTACTTATTATTTTTTTAAATTAATAGACAAGCTAAAATTTAGGAAATTCTATTAGGGATTGCTTTTTCCCAAAGGGAAGTATTAAGTGACATTATTGTGAAATTACTGTGAATGATATAAATATACTTCTCTTGGGAGTTTTCAGATTGAACTTAATGTTATATTCCTTTCCAATTACAACTATTCTTGAATCAGTTATTCTAAGCTAAGAGTGGTCAGAAGGAGTAACTGKGTTTTCAGAATCTTTGTCAAATAATTCACTTTGTGTGTTTGAAGATTGTAATTGTAGAAACAGCTGTTTCAAATAAAGCAGATCCTCCTTTGTAATGTGTCCAACTTCAGATCTGTCATCAATAGGTGTGTGGCATTTAGCTTACTAGGAGTTATCTCTTTGCTCCTGTGATCTCTTGTGCAGCTTAGCAAATACTAAGAGATGCAGGAAAGCTTTGTCAAACAGACTGTGTGTTCAGACATAGGCACTGGAGGAGGGTATATGTGGTAATAGTAATAGGAGGTTTAGAATCCTTTTACTTTAGTCCTAATTCTTCAATTAAAGGATTTGTAAATTCTATTGCTTTCCCACTATTCACATTTGTATATAGCAAGRCTAAGAACATTAACTTGCTTACACTTGATAGAAAAATTAAAACAGTGTGGATTTTTTTTTTCCATGTTGAATTTATGCCTTTTTTTTCTTTTTTCCCCAAAGACTTTTCCAGTAGCACAATCTCTAGCACCCAGTAGCATGGAGGAACGGATTGCAGAATTGAATCGACAGAGTATGGAGGCTCGRGGGAAACTACTACAGTTGATAGAACAGCAGAAACTTGTTGGTTTGAATCTCTCCTCTTCAGCAGTATCACCTGTTCAGTCGCCTCGCAGAGCATGGACTGGTTGGTCACACATTCATGATTTATMAACTAGAAATAGGAAGGTTTTTACTTTACTAATTTTACAAGTTTGTATTGAACCAAAAGAAATCTTCAATTTCATACCAAAAGAAACAGGCTTGTTTGTGTCAGAGTGTAAGTGACAGAGATAGGACTAGAAAGCAGGTCTCCTAATCTTCTTTAGCCCATTTGATCTTTGGTGTTTGAGTTCCTAAGTTGCTCTACTTCTAGATGAGGTTCATTATGGTATATGATTCACTTAGCACATACACTGTAGCTAATTATAAAATATAAGCATCAAAATTATAACTTGAAATTTCATTAACATCAGATTACAAATTAGTGTTCTGTTAAAACCATTAAAACATTTTCATTTGTTAATTTAAAAACTTTCGGTTCTCTTGTTACATTTAGGAATGTGAAAAGCTAGAGGGAACTCTGAATAATAGAATAGTAATTATCATAGCATTCCCATTGAAAAATGATACTGAGGAAATGAAGTAGATCTCAAGTTGATTTTTAGCCAGCATTTCATTTAAGACCCTGAAGGAATGGARCTACTTGAAGAGCATAGAGAATGATTTAGGTCCAGAATAAGAGAAGATTCGAATTWTCAGGAATAGATAAAGCTCTATCAGTGAAGTGCTCCCTAAGGTGTYCAAACAGGTGTTTTAGAGGACTCATTTGTCTTATGCTGATTGAAATAGGTTACCTTTAGGGCATCTGCCAGTAAGAATTTTTGCCTCAATTATAAATTATTTCTTTTTGAAATAATTTTCTAGAAAAGCAGATTTTCTGGAAAGTACTGGAAAATGATACAAGTAATGCATTTCCCAGCATCCTTCCTCTTTCTCTAGGCTTCTTCACATGTCAGCCTTGWATTCTAGTCTTTATAGTTCTGAAGTCTAAAACCAAATTTTGATTAGAATAAACAAACTTTTCAAACTACTATGTGCCTGCCACTTGGGTCTTGAATATTCAGATATTCAAGTTGGGAAACAGGCAGCAAACAAACAACTAAATAAGTGAGATAATGTCAGTACTGAGTACAATGAAGAAACATAAAGCAGATCACTTTTAAGAATAATTTTATGATTAAATATGAYATCTTTGTCTCATAATTCTATAAGGTTAAAAATGCCTTTATTATCTCATCTAGAACTCAACACAGCCTAAGTGTAGATAGGGCTGTTATTATGCCAATTTAATAAGTAAGCTGAGGTACACAAAGTTTAAGTGATCTGTCTGAAGTTCGMAAATTGTGGATCTGTGTCTGTGTTCTTTTCATTCCAGTGATTATATCTCAGGTGTTTTTTTTGTAAGTAAAATTCATAGGAATCTCTCTGGGATATCCTGATAAAAATAAGAATAAATAATTTGCCATGAAWAAAGAAGTTTGATTTTTTTAGGGAAACTAAGGAACATTTTATAAAATAAAATAGGGCTTTTTATTACCCCTCAATGCCATGAAATCACTGGTTTTAAGTAGTGGTTCACAGGAGCCTCTCTGAAACTGCCTGGGATGGACATAAAGTCTTTCACCAGTAAATATGTAATAAATGCTTGTTAATCGAGAACCTACTTTGAAATATTGAAAATGTACATAATTATACTTACTTTTGGCAGTATGAGCTTCTCAGCCAGTTTCCCCCTTCCAATGTTAGTGTTGTCAACAACTGTAATACTGTTATAAATTTAAAAGATTGAAATTTTTACTAAATGACTTCAGAATTTTTTTTTCCCTTTTTCTTTCTTTTTTAGGAAAACTTTTTTTTTTTTTTTTTTTTTAAAAAAAAGCTCTTTTTGAAAAAGATCTCAAATTCTTTAGGGCTAGCTTTTCTGTTTTTTGCTTCCAGATCTGACATGATACCATGTGCCTGAAGATTCTGGCTCTCCATGAACTGATATGCTCCTGAATTGACACTAGTAACTAAGTTTCTTGTCTCACAGTTTATTTAAAAAAAAAAAAAAATCTTTCAAGTGTGTACCTGTGGGGCATAGTGATAAGAATGTGCAAAGAAATTCCCAAATTTTAATAAGATTGAAATTGAAAAAAAAA